TCGATTCGACATGATCTTTATTGTCAAGGACGACCATACGCGCGAGAAAGACGAGAGGATAGCCAAGCACGTCATGGGCATCCACATGGGAGGTCGGGGTGCAGAGGAGCAGGTTGAGGCCGAGATTCCCGTCGAGAAGATGAAGCGGTACCTCAGCTACTGCCGATCGTAAGTTGAGCGCCAGTAGCTCTGGTTCTTGATACATGTTTCTAACAAAAATCCACAGTCGAATGGCACCGCGGCTCAGCCCCGAAGCGGCAGAGAAGCTTTCTTCCCACTTTGTCAACATCAGGCGGCAGGTTCACGCAAGCGAGATGGAGGCCAACACCCGGTCATCGATTCCCATCACCGTCCGTCAGCTGGAAGCCATCATTCGTATCACAGAGTCGCTGGCCAAGCTCACTCTGACGCCCATCGCAACGGAACAACACGTCGATGAGGCCATCCGGCTGTTCCTCGGCTCGACCATGGAGGCTGTCAACCAGGGCAGCAACCAGGGCAGCAGAGAACTGAACGAAGAGGTGGGCCGTCTCGAGACGGAGCTCAAGCGCCGACTAGCTGTGGGGTGGAGCACCAGCTTGGCAAGCTTGAAGCGCGAGATGTGCGAGCAGAAGGGGTTCAGTGAGCAGGCCCTGAACCGGACATTGATGATGATGCAGAGGCGAGACACGATCATGTTCAGGAACCAGGGAGCGCAGGTGTACCGAAACGCCATCTAAGCGATCTGTATCCGGGAGGGGCTTTGGGTTATTGGAATTCTTGATGATTGATGCTGTATCCACGAGAAAGCGAAGGAACATAACGGCGCAGGGCAACAGGTAGAGGATGGACCAAATGGAGAAATGAGGTTCGTAAAAGAGCCACCATGTCTTGTTTATTGCCTGACCACTTCGGAAGCATGAGCCGGCCGCGCTATCACGTTTCCATGCCTGCTAGTCCCTGTCTACACTTGGCCGGTCAGCGGACCAGTTGCAGTGTCATGTGAACATGAAGGAGGGAGGGTGGTGGCCTGGCTGTTGTGTTCAGACACGGCCTTTGTCCTCATCCTCAACCCATTCGAAGAGTCACCTCCACTGCGCATGAAGCACACAAGAGAGCTTTCGTGGCTGAGGATCGGTTTACCAGATGTGTGTATCATCATTGATGTGGCACAGGCTACGAAAGGTGCGAATAAAGGAATTCTAGGACCTACCTTGGGCAGACAGACATGGCCAAGATGTTTGTCGAACTTGGTGCCAACAATGATCTACTTGTGTCATCGACTCCAAAGTCGCGCGCCTTTTCAGACAGAATGAAGAGGTCGTGTGTTTGTGTGTGTGTGTGTGTGGTATGTCCAGATTTGCTTCAGGTGATCATCGTTTCATGGAAGCCACACATGGGGCCCTCGCGACAATTGTTTTTAAGCAATGGTGCATAAGCATCATTCTCGACTCACACAGCTATATCGTCCAACAGCAAATTTCCCGATGCAGAACAACGAGTGCCGGCTGGCGATGTGATGTTAGGTGTGGTGGTCTTTGGTTGTAAAGAGAAAAGAAGAGGAGCCTTGTGGCAGGCAAGAAAATCGTGAGCCTTGATAAACCGCCAGCCCACTCCAGGTCACATGACTTTGGTGCCCATGCTGTTTCCTGGGTGAATGGCTGGATGGAACGGTGGGGCAAGGAGCGGGTAGAAAGAACGGTGGAGTGAGTACCTAGAAAGAGGTACTTGGGGGGGGTGGAAGTCGGCGTAGTGCACCTGCCTACTCCTCTCCGCTCCGATTCCCAAAGAAGCGGCAAGTCAGGCGAACGCAAAGAGCAGACGAACACTCCGCACGGTGAGCGCACGGTGCACATGCCACTAAGCGAGGTCATGTTTCGCTGCAAATTGCCTCGCCGGCTCTCTGGCCCACCCTGTCCAGCTCACACAGTCCCATCGACCCAGGCCACCCAGCGCTGACCTGACTTCACCCTCTCAACCACCTCATCACCTGCACCAGCCGACCACGTCAGGACCCTGCGAAACCAACCCGACTACCTCTTCCGGCATCGACCGTCGACCTTACGAATCGCGCTCGCGCACCCGACGGCGTAGGAACACAGCGGCCATCTCTCGTTTCGAACATCCCAGCGGCGAATCCCGACGATCGAATCTGCGCGGCAAGGCAGAGCAAGGATTGCATGACGCTGGGCCTGGGAACCGACTTCAGTCGTCGGCGCTCTGGCGCGACTCGCCACCACGTTCAGTTCATCTTCTGAAGCCGACCGACAACATCCCTTCTTCATCGCGCACATTGCAGACTCTTGTCTTGCCCGACAGCGTCCCCTCCTGCTCCCTGTAACAGCGAAGGGCGCTTTTCCCGCTCCTGGGGCCTGGATCTCGGTACCGGCTCCACCTTGACCACACCTCGGCTTGAAAATACACCCTCCTTTCTCCGACTGACGACGACGACAACAACGCTCATTTCAGTTCGTTCGGCGTCCAGATACATCGAGGCTTCGACGTCGGCTTCAACATGTCTTTCCATCCCCAGACCCCTCAGAGTCCTTCGCAGTTATCACCCGGTACCTCCGATCTTGCCTCCAGCATGAACAGTTCGCTCACTTCGCTCACAACCCTGCCGACACCCGCCCACAGCGTCAACGGAAGCACATCTCATCCACCAGATACGTCTCACGACTACGCGATGGGTGACGACACGCCCCAGAAACGCAAACGCTCAATCGGCGACGTTGGCGAGCGAGACCAGAAGAAGCCCCACGTCGAGGACGGCAAACTCGTTATAGATGACCTCCACCAGGATGTCGGAGAGAAATACCTGCTTTGTCAAACTCGTAAGGCCCCCTTCACCTCCGGGCTCGCCATTTCCTGGCTCTTGCCCCTGCATGCCCCTACTCCCCATTGCCCCTGCCAACCCTTCCCTCCCTCCCTTCATGCGATGTTCCTCAGCAGGAGTATGATTTCAAGGTTGAGAACTGGGTTAACATAAGAGCTGTGCAGCACACCGCACACAAGAGTTCCCATGCATTACCGAGGATCTCTTTGAAATGTTCGGTCTGACAGACATCGCCGCCGAAGTCGCACGTGAGAAATCGAATGGTGACAAGACCATCAAGAACGGCCTGCGCAAGACCTACAAGGGCCACATCAAGCGACTGGGCATCATGGGCAGGTTCGACTCTGTCGCCCAAGAGTGGGAGGAACCCGAAGAGGTTGATGATGACGGCGATCAAGATGAGGACGATCGTCCAACGCAGAAGAAGGAGAAGAGCAACGAGCCCTACTTTGGCTTTGGCAAGATCATGAACCTGAGCGATCCAGAGTTCTGGCACGGACGAAGCTACCTCATGCACGGCTTGACGCCTAGGGCGAAAGCAGAACTCCCCAAAGCGCTGGCGATGGCAAAGGGTCAGATCCCCGAAGGATTTGATGCCTCCGTGTTGAACGACGACGGCTCTAGACCCGCCGCCGCCGCAAGATCTGCGGCTCCTGGCACCCCGATTGGCACACCTGGGTCGAACATGGGTCAACTCAAGCAGGCCCAAGGCATTCCCCGTCCGCAACGGGTGAACAAGAAGCGAGGTTACGGCGATAATTCTTTTGAGGGCTACGAGGGCTACGAAGATGGCTACGCCACAGGCGATGGCGACGACCGTGGAGGTCAGAAGCGCCGAAAGAAGGTATGTTACGGCCGACTCATCAATACTACGTCGCCATTTTAACACATGTCCCCCTCAGGCTGTCGGCACACCACAGTTCCAGAATGGCACGCCCCGCCCATCCTACGGCTCAGGAATCGGGGTTTAGGATGACCACTCGATCTCCAACGCCGCCGGTCAAGGACCGGGCGCCAAGGGACTCGGCCGCAATCAGACGCGCCATCAAACGCCTTGCGCGCAGGCCAGTGAGGCTCGGGAACCTCTGGTCGGCGCTCCCAAGACTGCTCCATCGAAAAAGGCTGGTCGCAAGGCCAGCGGCGGCCGGAAGCCCGCAGGCCCGAAGACGAGTGCTCGTCCTCGGAAGGATCGTCAGGGTAACTCCTGACCTTCCCAGCCGTCCTTCGAACGAAATGATCCTCAGCATGATACCCAAGTCGGCTTTCGGCCCACTGCACACGCACACACACGCTCTCTATCGCTCCTCTTTACGGCCGCCTCAGTCTTGACTTGACGAAAAGGTTTCTTAATGGGGATTACAACGCATGCAGTCCACCCGTTCCTGCGTTTATTGACGATTTCTTCTTTGCCACACCCTGGCACCTGTATAAGCACGGCGTTGGTTGGTTTTTGATGCTTTTTTCCCGCTTCCACTTCTTTTTTCTTCCTTTCTTTGTCTTTGTTTTTTCACATCTCGGACGCCGGGGAAGAAGGCCCAAAGGGAATACCCACCCCTTCCGCGCCGAACCACAAAAAACAGGGAAACAGTCACACAGGGGACGTCATGAAAGGTAAAGAAAGTGGACGAACGATGGATGGCACAGAAGGGAGGCCCGAGGCGAAGGATGGTTCGCTCTCGGAGAGGGGACTTCTATGCACATGCGCACACATATTGGCCCTGCTGGGCTTTCAGTACTATAGCACCGGGAACGGACTAAGCAGTACTTTTTGTTTCCACGAAAAAGGGGAGACTGGCCTTTGCCCTGGACGGGGCGAAAGCCTGCTTTTCTCCCTGAGCGAGGACCCCGTGGTCTTTATCACGGGAGAGGTGCGCAGAATACTTGATTGTAGCTTTGCGTCCCGGAATAATACAAGCGAAGATCAATGAATAGGGCTGCCTCTTTCTTCTCGTGGTCGTGTTGTTGTCATGCATGCGATGGAGCTACAAGTGAGCAAATTAAGCTGTCACCGAAGGATGATGGCATTGGGTATCATTGTAGATATTATCTTAACGACTGGCTCGGAATACTTGGCCAGACAGGTAGTTCCCGAGTCCTGCTAAGGCGATATCTCTCGGCCTTTGCCGTGTCCATGCTCCGCAAGGCACGTACGCGTCGATCTAGCTCCTCTGCCCGCTCGCAAGACTCAGTCAAGTCGCAAATCATCAGTGGTCTGCGCCAGCTCGAGAATGGCCCTGTTCGAAAGGCTCTCTTGAGCCCACTCCACCACCCTTTGTCCAACGTTACCGACCAAGCCCTCGTAGTGAGTGCCTGGGAAGAAAAGACCGCAATGAGCACCTACCTCATCCACGCCCTCCATGAAGATTGATACCCACGTGTCGTCCTTTCCCTCGCCGACTCGACGCGGCAGCACACAAAACTTGCGCTCTTTCGCCGGCTTTTTTGCCTCGATAGCGCGGGCCTCCCTCTCCGCTGTTGTTGTGCGGCCTCGTGATGGACTTCCTTCTCGACCTCGGTCTGTGACATCGGTGTCTGCTTGGCATTGCTCATTGGATGGCTGTTGTTGTTGTTGTTGCTGCTGCTGCTGCTGCTGCTGTTGTTGTTGTTGTTGTTGTTGCGCTTCATGAGCAGGCATCGGCCGCCCATCTCTTTCCGCTGCCTCGCGTTCTCTGTCGACTGCCTCTTTCGCCCGCTGCTCGGCCTCCTGTCGCCTCTGTTCGGCCTCTGCCTCACGCTGGGCCTGTTCCCTGGTGTGGGACTTGGCTTGCGCCTTTTCAGCCTCCTTCTCTGACTTCTGGGTGTCCTTCTCAGCCTTCTTCCGCCGCTTGTCCGCCAATTTCTGGCGCTCCTTGATGGCCTTCTCGCGATTCTTCACGGCCTGCTCGTAGGTTTTCAGGTCGCGCTTGGCTTCTTTCTCTGCCTGGCGTCGAGAATCCTTATCTGGGCAGGCATCTAGGTCTGGCGTCACCGGTCTAGGAGGCAGATCAGGAACAGCTGGCAGGTCTGCTGTGCTGTCATTGTGGTGCTGGCTCAAGCTTGAGCTGCCATGAACAACATGCTCGCTGTCGCCGACCTCAGATGATTCTGGAAACGGGTCAATATGCTGCATTGAAGCCGCCGGTGGCAGGTTGTCCTGTGCTGCAGCAGCTTCGGTAGGAGAGAGAAGCTTCTCCTCGACACCGCTGGGCTCAGCAAGCCGTATGCCAGGCGTGGCCACATCGCCTACCGAGGCAGACATTGAAGGCGATACCAAGGAACCGCGATCTTCCATCGATCCAGCCTCCAGGCGGTCAGTTGTCGTGTCGAGCTCTGGTGAACGGCTGCGCGATGGGCCGTGCGACCTCGACTTGACCCTTTTGGGCCTGCCAGTGCTGATAGTGTAATAATTCACAAAACGAACACGTGCAAGGGGTTGATTCTGCGACGCAGCAGGTCCATGGCTCTGCTGACGGAGCGAGTGGAGTTCGTCAACGTCTTCGAGGGCGCGGATCCTGCTGTAGCGTGAGTTGAGAGCGGGATAGTCTGCAAGGCAGCCGCCGTATTCAAGATGGGAGAGAACATGGTTTCTGGCTGCGCCGATTACGCCTTCGGACGAATGCTTCTTGACAAAATGTAGCAGTCGCTTCTTGAAGGGCTGTTCTCTGAAGGGGACGTCGTTGAAGTAGGACGGGTTGAAGAAGGGGTCATTTGAAGGCTGGGGTGAGATCGACGTTGTGGAGCTGTTGTCAATGGAAGAAATTTGGTTGATCGATGTCGTGGAACCATATTGAGAGAGTTCAGGACTTGCTGTTCCGGAAAGTATGGGACTCAATGTTGTGGAGGGTCCCGCCCCCGGTTCGGGGGTTTCGGGGGGGCTGGGGTTGGACCGGAAAAGACTGCTGATGCCCGAAACGATGATACCTGGATGAAGCCCCAAGAAAGGGGAATCAAGAGAGATGGTACCCAGGAGACGATGTTTCAGAGGATGCGACGAGTAAGGGTCACGATTGGGCTGCGAGGAGGTTAGCTTTGAGACACTCTGTATGGTAGTGGGTGGGTAATGGAATACCATCAGAGCAACATCAGCGGCCAGTAATCCTCCCATGGAGTGGCCAACGAGAACGATGTCGGTTGTAGGACTCTCATGAGGTTGCAGCCATGAGCTAAAGTTGTCTCTGGCAAGCGTAATAGCCTTGTATGTCTTATACCGGGGATAGATCTTGGAGTGAATGACATAGTTGTCACTCAGCTCATTCTTGAGGTAATTGTGTACATGAGCAGGGAATGACTGAAACGACTGGTCGTTGCCGTAAAAGCCATGGATGTAAACCACAAGCAAAGTCCGCCTTGTCTCAGTATCATCTCCGCCAACGAAGGACGGTGTCAGTGATTGAGTAGATGTTTGTCGAGGGTCGGGAGCGAGGAATCGGTTATCCCCTAGTCCGTCAACAAAGGAATAGGCGGGAGGAAGAGAGTGACCAGACTCCTGTGACGAAGACCGTGCCATGTGCGCGTCGGTTCCGGATACCAGGACGAGAGCCGGAAAATCGGGATGATAGAAAGTCTTAGGGGACGGGCGCGTCGGCGGCTTAGCGGGCACCGTACGCTCTGGTAGTGGAGGTCGGGATCGGGGACGGTGTCGGTCTCTTGGTGGGAGACCTGTCACATCTGTGGGGATCTCTGTGACGTCAGCTTTTGACGGACTCTCCTGGACACACGGCACCGTCACGTGATAGCGGGGTACGACACCTGCCTTCGACTTGCGGTCGGACAAGTCGACAGGGGCATCGTTGTGTAGGGGCTCAGTAGTTTGACAAGGAAACATTTTCGAGATGTTTAACCTGGGCAGGCTGCAAGCTCACCTATGTATCGTTGTTGCCGGCTGTTTGATTATATACCTGAAGTTTTCGCGGCCGGAAAGAGATAGCTTGCGTGGCCGGTGCGGTGCCGACCGGCGCGGCGTCGGACAGGGTTCTCGGGTGTCGTATATCTCGTGTTATGAATGACTTTTTATGCCAACAACAATGGTACGTAGCGATATGTGACGAGCGTTCGCGATACATGAACCGTTGCAGAAGACAGCCGTCAAAGAAAAGGGCTACGTGATCCTCATGGGAAGGTTATAATTGTTTCAGGAAAAGTCGATCCCAGGGCAGTATCTGCAGTCTAAGTAACTTGGGAGGTTGCATCCAAGTTTGCCTTCCCTGGCATTTGACGAATGACGGCACGGATGCAGGTACGCAGGTTTCCAAGGAGGAGCTTGAGAAGCACTGTCTTTTGGCAAGAACCGCCAGCTAATCAGAATCAGGCGCAAACACCCAAATGAAGCATGCTCTCAACGTGCAGGCCACGAGATGGACAGCATGCAAGGGAGTGCTCAAGTCATTGGCTTAAATGCTCGAATAAGCGTAGCGTTTTCATGTACGTCGTCAATCCGCCGCTGACCTTGCCGTCCTCGTAGTCCCTCCATCAGAGCTCAGTCACGTTTTAAAGACCTCGCGAGTGGTCTCCTTGGGCGAACGATCGGCAGGCAGGGTGATTCAAAAAGCCCATGACGACATGTGTAGTGGCCTGCTGTGTACATATAGCTTGCACAAGACAGTTTAGGTACCCACCGAATGTCCGTTTGCGCAGATCACAATTGTGGGCCCATTGTGAGTCGCTTGGGGGGCCAACACCTAGCGAGAAATCACCGTCAATCGCACGAGCAGATGGATGGCACTTGCCAATCCATTTTGACAAGTGCATCTAGCTGTGAAGGTGTTGTTGCACTGCTTCGTCACGTCCACGACGCGACCGCTCCATTTCTTTCCTCTACGCCTCGCATTGGATCGTGTTTCCTCACTTGGCATGATGCACCATGTTGGGCTGGGCGCACGCCGACACCCAAGCACCCACAACCTGAAGCAACCGGCCTGACAGCGAGGCATCCTGGCGTCTGTGCATTTGAGGGCCGGTCACTCGGTGCTGCCTTCTCTCAGACTCCACTGCACCCATGGACAGGGCCTCTCTCCTCCCGTCCTCGTCGGAATAAAGAAATCTTGAAGAAACAGAACACGATTGTTTCACCTTCGATTAAATCTTCGATAATGGACAGATGCGGGCACCAGCAAATAAACGAAATGGACAAAAATAGCACCGTAACCTTGCACCAACCAACTGCAACAGCCGACAGCGGGCCATCGATACATGGATGGATGGCGGGCCGACGAATACGAGAGAAGCCGCCTTGCTACCGTACAGTAGCACGAGACGGAGGAAAAATCCCACGCACGTTGTGCAAACGAGAAGACAAAAAAAAAAACGGGGGCCATGGAAAGTCTCTGAGCCCCCCCTCGCCGATAGATAAAGGAAGCCTTTCGCGGAATGGAAACGTCCAATTGTGTTCTGAGAGCATGGATGGGAGCAGAAGGCCAAGGCCGTCCAACGCGTCGCGTCTCGTGCATTGGCTGTTGAATTGACTGACGATGAGCAACGACAGACGGAGCTCTGTAGTCGACACCCAATCCTGGACCACCAAGGCAACAGGCCAGGGTAGGAGTGAGCATGGACCATCAGCTGCGAGAGGAAGATGTGTGCTCCCCTGCCGCTGTCCTGTGTCTCGCAGGTCTCGCCCCCTGCCCCATTGGCCGATATGGCAGCAAGCGAAATGAACGAAATCTCGCCATGTGAGTGTGTGTTCGAGGGGGAGGGAAGAGGCCCCCAAGCGTCCCCAACGTCCCCCGAACGCTTCGAATCAATCCCACTAAAAGGCCCCGAAACTCACCCTCTCCCCTTGCCTCGACTCACAAATCCCGCTGCACCCCGGTCCGACCTCCAGGTCTAGGTCCTCAGATGGTCAAATCTTCAAGGCCTCTTCTGCCCGTGTGGTGGATGTCTCATTTCGTTCTCGTGCCTGCATCCACTTTCATGTGCCCCATCCCATATCCCGCCGCATCCCGTCCTCTTGCCGCTACTGTCGCCGTCGCTGCTGGTGGTGTCGTCTTTTTGCTCCATTCCTCTCTGCACCACCTCCCCAGGTACGGGGCCGCTGTTTACACTCATTCGCCCGCAGACACTCTTTCTTCTTCCTCCTTTCACAGTTCTTCAACACCCGACTGAGTCGAGTCTTCGGAGTCGATTGGAAGCCGAATCGATTCGATTCCGCCCAACGAGTCTATCTCGTAATGAGATTCGGCCGAACTAAGGGTCGCTACTGAGAATCGCCACATCTTCAGACGGAAACAAAGGCAAACATATACCACAAACCCGCCTTAGACAGGCACCACAGGCCCGACCCGATCGTCGCATACCTACCTTCTCACAACGTGGACTGGAATCCTACGACAACATAACAGACCAATCCAAAATAGCCTCCACCACCAGCACATTCTTTCGCTTTCACAACAACAAGGCCCCACGAGAGGATGACAGCAGGCATGGACTTCGCCCCCTTCGCATCATCCCCATAGAGCCATAGCCGCAACTTCAGCCTCTTTCCGCCGGCCATTCCCAGGGCAGATAGCCTGCCCCCATCCGCCTAGCCGGACCATCAGTCCCTTCCGCAGATCCCAAAATCCCACACACGAGGTCGATCACTCGCTCTCACCTCACGACGACATCCACAACTGCATCCGCATTTGCATCCTTCATCCAACCAGCTGGCTCGGTGCCAGCCCTCCGCCACGCGCAATGACGAAGGCACGGCGTGGGCCTTCACTCGTTCAGGCCCGCAGCCCTCCCGGCAACAAGAATCACAATCATTTCCATTCCTTACAAAGACGTAACATCAACACCAACCCTCATATCAACAGCAACAACGACGGCCCTGAGCCGCACCACCAGCACCACCAGCACCACAACCGTCAGGCCCCTGATGCCGCACCAACCCCCGCTGCCGATTCAGCACTCGTCACTCACGTCGTCCAGACCGTCTCCGTCATTCAAATCGTCGACGGCAACGGCGTTCCTGTCCGCGTCCAGACTCAGTTTGCCGAACCTGCTACTGTGGTGATCGACCCGGTCGCCGGCGTGACCGTCGACTATTCTGTTTACCAGGCTGCTGGCGGTATCCCCACGGCGCAGCCCGAACCTCCTGCCACCCCGGCCCCAGGAGAGGTGCAGCCAGGGTCTGCTCCGAAGCCTGCTGCCGAGCCTGCTGTCGATCCAGCACCGGTCCCTCAGACGGATTCTCTTCCTTACCCCGAGACGAACCCTCCGCCAGAGACCGTTCCGCTCGAATCCAGCTCTGTGCTGACCCCGGCGATCCCAAGCGATGAGACAGTACCGCCTACCTTTCCCCCGACGCCCATGTCGTCTGAAGTTCCTCTAGAAAGTCAGGACCAGCTCCCGACGTCCGCTCCTTTAACCACTCCTCCACTAGCCTTCCCAACTCTGAGCGCTGGCTCCAATTCGACCATACCCGGCTCCAAATGTGAGCATCCTTGTGGCCGTATCGCAGACCGTCTGATGCTAATATGTCGCAGCTATACAACAGTCCCGCTATGGCAACAACAATAGCTCTTCGCTGCACCTTCTCGCCGAAAGCGGTTCCGCCTCGTCGTCGCCGTATTCGTTCCTCTCAAACTCGGACGCCAGCAGTTCGAGCTTACCCACCACGACGACCAGCTACTTCACCACGACATCTTCTCTTGCCAGCTCGACTGGTGCCTCGCTCTCGGGCTTTTACTCCACCGCTTCAGGTGCCTCCGGCGCTGGAGGAGTAGGGGGCTCTACCCCTTCGGCTACGGCGACAGCTGACCAGGATGCCGACGAGGCGCCCGTTGAGACTGGCATGGTCGTTGGTAGCGTGGTAGGCAGTATTGCCGGTGCCGCCCTTATTGTTTTCCTCGTTCTCTTCGCCCTGAAAATGCGCAAGCGTCAACAGGGCCGCGTCATGTTAGGCGATGGGAACAGCACCAACACCCGTGGCATGCTGACGGGTCCTAACGGTCCGCCCGGGGGCAATAGCGGAGCCAGTGCTATGGTTCAGAGATCCCTCGGTCTCGGCTCCGCGGCCCTGGCCGGGCTCGGCGCGAAGCGTGCCTCTCGCCAGGCTTCCGAGCAGCCCGAGGAAGCCGGCGAACGTGGTTTCTACCGGGTCTCCGGCAGGAAGCTTCCGCCGGTCCTCCAAGCTGGCGGCGATGGATACACCGATCCCCGCATGAGTGTCGTGAGCAATGACGAGTCCGTCTACTACCGTCAATCGACCACCTTCTTCGATGACCCAGCCTCCGGGTCTACAGCACCCCGACTGGCGCTGGGCTCGCCCATGCGACCTGTCAGCGGCGTGCCCATTATGCGGTCCGGCCCGGCACGCACACCCGTTCAGGAGTCGAACCCCTTTGCCGACCCCGCGCCGCCGTCTCACCTGATGGTTCCGCCTTTGCGGGATGCTGTCGGCCGGTCCTTGACCTCACAGGACGGCTCCAGAGGTTCAGTCTCGCGGTTCACCGAGGAGATCCGCTGAGGCCTCCTCGTCGCCCCTTCATTCGAGTATCTTTCCGCGTCTGCTTACGTTTCGATACCAAAGAAATTTTTTCATGATTTAATACTTATTTACAACATTCAGTCGAGGTGCTGCTCATATACACGCAGCACCCTGCACTGTCTTCACGAGTGCATATGGGGAGGCGTTTTTCTTGCTAGTTTCCGCTCTGCCACGACCGATTGGATTTGTGATTCAAAAGCGCATCGCACAAAGAGAAGAGGAAGTTGCTTCGCATTCATGTCTATACTTGAGGACCAGGGGGGTGGAAGTTGAGGCGGATTTTGGAAAGTCGGATACCCTGCTGTTTTGCTCTATGCAATCTTCCACACAAGCAAAGAGATTATTTGTCTTCAGGGACATGCGCAATGCTGTGCGGACTCTATTACTACTTTCGTGATGTTGACGATGACCTTTTCCTGTGGCGTGTTGTTGCAGGCCGGTATGATCACCCGTGGTGACCACAATTCTCCTCAACAGACATTGCCTTGCTGCCACAGAGCTGACCTAACTTTAACAGCCTGTCAACGCCACGGACGTCGAACCCTCGCGGCTCGCTTTCAAATTATCGATGCGAAGCCGACGACCCGACGTCTCGCTCGAAAACACGCTATCTTGGCTGCCTCCGGCGCCGGTAAGCTCGGGAATAGCTTCTTAAGACTCGAGTTCGAACTGGCCCTTGCGACACTGCCATGCGTAGGCCTACGGGAGGAGAAGGGACTGTTCGAGTGTGACGACAGCCTCCAGTCGAGACAGTTGTGAAACGCCAAAGACGCACAACCTGAGGAATGCTGGCGCTTGGGCCCACTGGTCTACCAGACGCGTGGGTTGTGTGCGTTGCTCCAGCTTGCGTGCGCTGGCTGACGGTCTATGCACAGCCCCACGGGCCCGCTACAGCCCGTTCCCGGGTTGAAGGTTCTCGTCCCAAGATCGGCCGCTTGACTTGTGAAACGACATTCTCTTCGTGGCCAGCACATGGAGCCCCGAGCTTCAGCTCAGGGTTCTTCCGAATATGCTTGCCTCAAGTACGTACGCCACATGGCTAGATAGGACCGGTTCGCGAAATCGTTGCCGGGATTCCGAATTGACCGCACGATTGTGTTAAATTTCAATGCCCAGGGCCAATAGAGGCTCCGAGGCCATCAGGACATCAGGGAATGAAGAAGACCTCGAGGGCGCGTGGTTATCGTTTCAATGTCCATGCTTGTCGGGGAACTCTGTACAGGTCCGTGAGCAAGCTCCATCTGGCGGGTCTCGTCCAGTCCTTGCTCGGACTGACTGACAACGAGAACCGCGATTGATTGCGCATTCGGGGGCTCTTTCACAGGGCCCAGACTCAAGCACGAACCCCTCAGGGTCGAGGTGAGTTGAACACGAATCTTGAGATTGACATGCTTGTAATGACTGGCGTCAAGAACATCATGCCATATCGCGACAGGCCGTCCCATTCCGAGCGAGCGGGTTCCGAACCCGAGAGCGCCTCCGCTCAATTGGGAAGCGATGCCCAGCGTTCTCGAAGAACAGGAAAACAGAGAAAGTAATGGCAGAAAAAGAGGGTCTTGGCTGTGTCTTGAACAAATGCAGGGGTACTTTTAGCCGCGCAACTTGCCCACCGTGGATCAAGTCGAACATTCCAAATCATCCGCGCCCATCTGTTGATACAGCGGTGGTTCGTGAGGCAAGGTGAAAGTCATTGGTCGGCCGGCCGATCAGGGACTCGAACTCAATAATAGATGAGGCAACACAAAAACTATAGAACATCCCTTGATGTCTTGAGATGGGTGGTGTTGGCGAAAGAAAAAGCAGCTCTGTGCTGTGTCTGGCCCGAGTCTAGGCGACGGGATGATTCACAAGGAGGGGGGGGCTGAGTACCATCGAGGATAATCTGACAGGGGAAGGGGCCATTGAAAGAGGAGGGGGAAGTAGAAGGGGTAAAGGACTGGGGGGCTTACCAATCGTCGGGTAACAGCTGGGCCCCACGACTGTAGATCTGAGATATTGTGAAAGATCGTGCTCTGGTCTGCGACAACAGCAGGCTTCGGTGAAGCAAGCGGCAAGAGCTAACCAAGAGTGCTGTAGAGAGGCCACCACACCTGCCGTACCCCCGTGGGAGTGACAGCGAGGCGGCTGTTCATGTCGGGGTTCGTGGGCAGGTGAAGCCCGAAAGGCCACAAGCCCGGCAAATGGGGCGGGACTGCACGCAGATCGACCCCAGTCGCAGCGTGAGCACCCACCTACTACACATGGTGCAGGCGCAATTGCAAGTGGGGTGGGGACCAAGGCCACCCACATCACCCACTGGTGAGGTCCTCCTGCTGCACACAGCAGGACCACCCCCTTGGCCTCGGCCCCCCTCCCCTAGCCCCTTCTACCCCCCCCGATGAGGCGAGCGTAGCTAGCCCAGCCATGGGCACGTCCAAATGTGAGGCACACCACACGATTCCCGTTCCCGCCAGGCGTCATCCCATCCCGGACTTCCCGTCACGTCCTCTCCCGATCCTGAATCTTCCCTCCTAGTAATCTTGCTACTGTTCGACATACCGCCTGCCTCACCCTCGTTCACGCCTGCATCTGTCTGTCGCTTCCACGCGATCTGTAACTCCACGAGCCATAAACCTCCACACATTACGACAAGCACCCATCTCACCCAGCGTACTTGATCTGACCAGTGCACGCATCTTCTGCCTAGGAGCGTTGCCCGATCGATCGTCAACTTCGTCAACTTCGTCAAAGCTCATCCGTCGCCCCAGCACTCGACTCTCCCAGATCGGCCCTTCCACATCAACGCCCTGTAATCAATGCGCCCACAATAAAGACATTGAAGACGTCTCCTTCACCGTCGCACTCTTCACGATTTCCTCTACTTCGACTGCCTGCGATCGCGCCAACCGTCTGATCTCAATTCGCCCCCAGAATACGATTCCCACCGCCCGGTCACTCCATCGAAACGCACGCCATGGATCGCATGGGCTTTCAGATGCCTCACATGGGGCATCCGCCACCCATGATGAACCCCCCACCTCAAATATTCGGTGGTTACACACCCGACGGCATCCCGATTCAACACCTACCACCGGACCTTGCAGCTCAGATGTTCCCCGACCATTCAACTCTGCTCGATGACGCAAATGAAGCGAAAAGGAGGAGGATCGCAAGAGTAAGTGGTTCAGAGGGTGGCAGCTCCAACGGGCCATATTGTTGTCCGAACCTCAACGCTGACAGAATTGCGGCGCGAAGGCTTGTGACATGTGCAGGAAGAAGAAGATCAAGTGCGATGGCAAAATGCCTGCATGCAGCCACTGCATCAACTACAAGACGGAATGTATTTTCACACAGGTCGAGAAAAAGCGTACCCCTCCCAAAGGGTAGGTTGTGCTCCGCGACGGAAAGCTTATCTTGCGTCCGCCCCTCCCTCTCATTAGATACGCGAACTGATCACAGCGTTGCACAGCGCAAAGTACATTGAGGGTCTCGAGAATCGACTGGGCAGAATGGAAAACTTGCTGAGGCTATCAGGTCAGTGAAACGGGCCCACTTCAGACGAAGTCAAGCATTTCGCTGACATAGGCATAGGTCTGCTCGACGAAGATGAGAACGGCGAGATGGACCTCGGCACCCTGGAGAAAAAGCTGGCTGAGAAGCACCAGCAGTCTAGGCAGGCCTCACAGGCGGTCTCAAACCCCTCATCGCCCTCTTTAGCCGCGTCTGCCACTCTACGAGAAAGCACATCCACCCCGCAAAGCTCCCTTACCTCTCCCGAGCCCTCGAAAGAATCCGAGAGGCGCAAATCTACCGTTTCCGAGGCCCCCGAAAAAGAGACGGGCGAGGGAGAAGGGGAGGTGGAGGAGCTATCGGAGATGATGTGCTCGCTCGTTACCAATCAGTCTGGCGAGACCCGATACATCGGCTCCTCCTCGGGATTCTCCATCTTCTCGCCCAAAGGTATTCAATGGGTGAATGAGAAGACTGGCGACAACTCTTTCCAGCAGATGATCTCGGAGGTCTCGATTGACGACCACAAGTGGACCAACTGGAAGCCAGAAATCTTCAGCGACCTCTTCCGCCGCCCCATTTTCCGACCTCTACCGCCCAAGGCTGAGGCTCTGTCGTTGCTGAAGGACTTCTTCGAGAACTTCAACTGCATGTTTCCACTCTTCCACCAGCCGACCTTTATGCACCTGGTCGAGCGTCAATACTCGAATGACCCCTATGAGGGATCGGGATGGTGGGCCAGTCTCAACTGTGCCTTGGCCTTTGCCCATCGATTGCGGGTTATGAGCAATCTCGTGCCACAAGAAGAAGATGACAAGGCGTGGGCATACCTGAAGAACGCCATGGCCATCTTCCCCGAGTTGACGATGCGTAATACCGACCTACTGACTGTCCAGGCCTTGTTGGCAATGGCCCTTTTCCTGCAAGGCACACCGAACCCGCAGCCGACCTTCATCCTCGTGGCCACTGCGATCCGACTTTCCCACTGCATCGGTCTGCACAAGCGTGGCACAGGTTTTGACCTCAATCCTATCGAGATTGAGCAACGCAAGCGCGTATTCTGGATCGCGTACATGCTCGACAAGGACCTGTGTCTTCGCGCGGGCCGGCCGCCTGCTCAAGACGATGGTGACATGAACGTTGAGCTACCGGATGCCGACCCTTCAGATAACATCGGCAACATCCCCCTAGCCGACGGCAAAGGAAAAATGAACCTTTTCAGGGTGATGTGTGAATTTGCAATCATCGAGGGCAAGGTGTACAACCGACTTTACGCCACACAAGCGGCAAAGCAATCCCCTGGTGAACTCCTCAACACTATTGGAGAACTCGACAAGGAGCTCGAGGAGTGGAAAGACAGGATTCCAATCGATTTCCGTCCAGAGCACGAGATCAAGGCCTCACACACGCCACTGATCCTGCATGTTATTATGCTTCATCTCACGTACTACAACTGTTTGACGACGATTCACCGCATGTCAGTCCACCATGGGTACTGGACAAGTCGGCTTTCCAACTACGCGATTCAAGGACTGAACACAAAGCCGTTGAATCCTCGCGTCTTTGCCTCTGCCGCCCTTTGCACAGCCGCAGCGAGAGCGTCTGTCTCTTTGCTCAAATATGTCCCGCAAGGAGATTTCTCTGTTGTCTGGTAAGTTGCTGCGATTTACGCCTGTGGGCAATTTTGAATTAACGGTGTTCAGGCTCATTCTTTATTTCCCCGTGTCTGCACTGATGACACTTTTCGGTAATATCCTGCAGAATCCTCTCGATCATCGTGCAAAATCAGATACGAAACTGATGAATCTCGTTGTCAACTTCTTGTCCATGCTGGGACAGGAGGCCGAAACCGGCGGCGTGCATCGTATGCTAGGTGTCTGTGCCGAGTTTGAGCGCATCGCCAAGCTGGTGGTGGAAAAGGCTGAAAAGGAGCAGTCTTCGCGAAGGAAGAGGAAGACCCAGGACAACTCTAAATCTTCCCTTGATACGTCATCGATGCAGACCCCGAGGCCTTTATCAGCGACGACGCCAACAGGCAACGGACTCAACGGAGTCAACGACGGACACCTCTCACCCAAGTTCAACGGGGAGGCCAATCTTCGTCAAAGAAACAGCGCCAGCTTCAGCCCAATGGCGGCTCAAATGGCGGAGCCTTCGCCCGCGCCACCATCTGCTGGCTGGCCTCAAGACTTTTCTATGTCGGACCAACAAGACTTTTCTTCGTTTGGCGACATGACCGGCTTTGGGCCTAATGGCGGGATTCGTTCACCTCAAAATATGATAGGGGTGACGTACCAGCAACCGCTTCTGCCGCAGGATCTATTCTCACTCCCAATGACGTTGGATTGGGACTGGGCAGAGATGAGTGGAGGCGCGTACCCGACTGTTGAAAATGGTACAGTGGGAGATGTTCCACGATAGGGGGGGATGGAGGCGAACCGGAGGAAGGGTAATAGTCGATTTAGCGGGCAATTTCGGTCGTTTGCATTGCACGGGGTTTACGTTTGGCGGATGGTAGACGCGGTGTTAGGTACACAAAGCCAAGGTGCATTTATCTCTATTTGTTCCCACTTCCGCTTGAAGGCTCGCTCTACTAAGGCCAAGCTTGTCGCTGTTTTGTGCCTTTAGCATTACACATGCCAGGTCTGGCCGTGTTTGTACGCGTCGTTTGGCTGCCTACCAGAGTGGCGTGGGAGAGCCGTAGACCGTAAGCTCACGCCATCACGTGACGAGCTCCGCTTAACCCCGAGGCCCGGAACAGCCCCGGATGAACTGATCATCAACCGCAAGAGATTTGCTGGAGCCGTCATACTTGTTCAGTACCTAGGGAAAGCTACCTCAACCCAGAGACTCCAACCCCAACCACCAACGTCACAAAACCCTCAACCACACCGAGTCTCTGCGGTCGGCGGCGAGGCTACCGATTAATACGCTGCAAAATCATTTCGACCCATTGAGAGCGTATCCATGAACTAGCTCTCAACTGCAGGCGCCCAGCATCATTCCCTTACCACCTCTCTGACTCCGGTCATTCCGCCCTCCACACGCCACCACCATCACCACAACCTCCGACCATGGCCGGACTCCTTCGTCAATCCACGCAGCTGGCGCGAGTCGCAAGACAAACACAGCGGGCGACATTATGCAGAGCACTGCTGCGCCCGTCACGAGTGGCACGTCAGCTGCCACTGGCGGTCCGAACCACCTCCCTACCACATGCCCCTGCCAGGCTATACTCGACGCAGGGTCCACAACCCCCCAAAGACGAGAGCAAGGATCCAATCAAGCCGAACGAAGATGAGCTGAAGGCCAAGGACGATGCCGCGGCTCTACTGGAGAAGGAGCGCAAGGACTGGCCCCTACCCGAGGGATGGACATACCTGACCGAGGACGAGATGACGGTGCTTGCCGAATTTGGCAAGAACGAGAGGTTGCCGCAGTGGATGCGCGACGATTTCGCACACAACCTCGAGAGCATGCGGGTCACGGGCGCGCCCAAGGAGCTCGGCGAGATGCTGGCGGACCGAAAACCCGGCGACATGACCATTGTCGAGATTGGCAAGTTTCTTCGCGTCATGAGCAAGATGGCCAACCGACTGGCAGAGTACGAGACGGCCAAGGAGCTGCGCGAGCATGGACACGAGGATGCGGCGAAGCAGGCAGGCCGCAAGGAGAGCACGCAGGAGGGCGAACAGGACAAGAAGTCGGAGCAGGGACAGAAGAAGAAGAAGGACGGCAAGACGGGCGATGGCAGTGGTGGCAAGGATGGCGCCGACGCCGGCAGCCCGTTTGCGAAGAAGTGGTTCCTTGGCCGTTTCAGCACGGGCGACCTCATCATGGCTGGTATCGTCTGGGCTGTCGTCCTGCCCTTCTTCGAGTCGAGCTTCTTCGGCCAGCAGAAGGAGATTACCTGGCAAGAGGTGCACAAGAACTTCCTCGCCAAGGGCCTCATCAAGAAGCTCACCGTCCTGTCCAGCGGCAAGGTGCGCGTCGAGCTGAACCAGGAGGGTGCGCAGAACGCGTATGACGGCTTCGATCAGAACACCCAGTACTACTTCTCCATCGGCTCAGTACAGACGTTTGAGCAGCAGCTGGAGCAGGCGCAGAAGGAGCTCGGCATCCCGTCGGCTGAACGCATTCCCGTCAACTACGCCAGCGAGGGTGGTCTCTGGCAGGTCGCCATGGCCTTCGGCCCGACCATTTTGCTTGTCGGTCTCCTCATGTACACCACGAGGAGCCTCGGCGGTCGCGGTGGCGGTCAGATGTTCGGCGGCTTCAGCAAGAGCAAGGCCAAGATGTTCAACCACGAGACGGCGGTCAAGGTCAAGTTCAGCGATGTGGCAGGCATGGACGAGGCCAAGGCTGAGATTATGGAGTTTGTCAGCTTCCTGAAGGCGCCTGAGCGGTTCGAGCGCCTGGGTGCCAAGATTCCCCGTGGTGCCATTCTCTCTGGACCCCCCGGTACGGGTAAGACGCTGCTCGCCAAGGCAACGGCAGGCGAGTCTGGTGTTCCTTTCTTCAGCGTCAGCGGTTCCGAGTTTGTGGAGATGTTTGTCGGCGTCGGTTCCTCGCGAGTGCGTGACCTCTTCGCATCGGCCCGGAAGAACGCGCCCTGCATCATCTTCATTGACGAGATTGACGCTATCGGTCGTTCTCGACAGGACGGAAACCGGATGGGCGGCAACGACGAGCGCGAGTCGACACTGAACCAGATCCTGACGGAGATGGACGGTTTCAACACCTCTGAGCAGATTGTTGTGCTTGCCGGCACGAACCGAGCTGATGTTCTCGACTCGGCTCTTACACGACCTGGCCGTTTCGATCGGCACATTTACATCGACAGGCCGACGATGAAGGGACGACAGGACATCTTCAAGGTGCATCTTAAGAAGATTGTGACCAACGAGGACCTGGAGCATCTCATTGGCCGGCTGTCGACACTGACACCGGGATTCTCTGGCGCGGACATTGCCAACGTCGTCAACGAGTCTGCACTAGCTGGTACGTTCACCTCACCCTTACGCCGTTGTGGAGGCTAGACTAATTCTTTATCTTGTTTGCAGCCGCCCGTGTCAATGCGCAGTCGGTTGAGCTCATTCACTTTGAGCAGGCGATCGAGCGTGTCATTGGCGGTCTCGAGCGCAAGTCGCTGGTGCTCAAGCCCGAGGAGAAGCGCACGGTGGCGTACCACGAGGCGGGCCACGCCATCTGCGGCTGGTTCTTCGAGCACGCAGACCCGCTGCTCAAGGTGTCCATCATCCCGCGCGGCAAGGGCGCGCTGGGCTACGCGCAGTACCTGCCGGCGGGCGACGCGTACCTCATGACGGTGCAGCAGCTGATGGACCGCATGGCCATGACGCTGGGCGGGCGCGTGTCGGAGGAGCTGCACTTCCCGACGGTGACGACGGGCGCGAGCGACGACTTCCGCAAGGTGTCGCAGATGGCGCGCAAGATGGTGACCGAGTGGGGCATGTCGGACAAGGTCGGCCCGCTGCACTTCAGCGAGGACCCGAACCAGCTGCAGAAGCCGTTTTCGGAGCTGACGGCGCAGGCGATCGACGCCGAGGTGCGCAGCATCGTCGACAAGGCGTACGCGCAGTGCCGGGACCTGCTGTCGTCGAGGCGCACCGAGATTGGCCTCGTGGCCGAGGAGCTGCTGAAGAAGGAGATGCTGACGCGCGACGACATGGTGCGCCTGCTGGGCAAGAGGCCGTTCGAGGACCACCAGGACTTTGAGAAGTACTTTGGTGGCGGCAGCAAGAGCGCGCCGCCGCCGCCACCCGCGGAGGAGGCGGGCAGCCCACCGCCCGAGCAGCCGTCGCCGGCGTTCCGCCAGGTGGACGGGGCGGAGAGGTAGGCCACGTTACGTGCCGGCAGGAGAATGTGCCCGCCCACACGGGGGCGTGGGGGAAAAGAGGCCCTGACCGGCCTCCGGCGGGCAGGACGAGGAGGCCGGGGCGGGGTTGTTTGACACTCTACTTTGTTTTTCGAGGAAATCTACACTTGGTCGCTGGCTGTACTCTGGGAGCCGGAGGGGCGCAGCGCGGGAGGCCGCAAAACGGGCGGTTTTTGATAGACACAAATGTACCATATGTGTAAATACACCACTACTGTTCACTGGCCCATGCGCCCTCCCAAGCGGTCGAAGCTCGATGACTCGAAGACTACAGGACGGGTCTGTCACCGAATCCTCCAAGTCGTTATCCCACTTGACCTGGATGCCGTGTCAGGAACGTGGGTGGGTGGAACAACGTTGAAGCGATCGACATGCACACGAGGGCGGGACATGGTGCAAGTCACGTTTGGTACCGTACCCTCGTCGTGGGCAGGGTTGGGCAGTGAGGTGAGGTGAGATGAGATGGGGTGAGGTGCCTAGTGGCGAGCGGCAGAGCTTATCGCCGAAATAACCTGCCCAGGCAGAAAAAACGAAAAAAGAAGATAGCAAGGGGGGACCCATAGAAATGATTCAACAGGTATTCCGAGAATCAAAGGTAGAATGCGCCGTGTTTTCCTCGTTACAAGGCTTGGCTTCTGTTTGGAGAGAAGACTGACTGGCGGCTGCAGAGTTGAAAGCTGAGCTGGCAGCGGTGAGCAGCAAGGGGTGGTGGGTGGCCAGGGAGCTGTCATGGTGAAAGAATAGGCTTGTGAGGTCTGAATTGGAATGTCGACGCTCGAGGGGGGGGTCCCAAGGGGCCAAGAACGTGGCGCCCGTGTCGTCGGTTGAACGTTTGGGGTCTTGGTGGGCTTCCTCTTCCCGCTTTGTTCCCACACACCACCGAGACGAGAGACAGAAGCGTGGTGGGTGGGTGTCGAGGGTTGCCGGTGGCAGCGATCAGCAGTCTGCCGGCTAGCGCTCGAATCGCGCGTCTGATGGGAGAGCCTCCTCCCCCTCCCCAAAACGATGACGGGTCTTGCGGGCCCCTGGTCGACCATTACTCGATGTGCTTCCCCGTCGATACCAGGGCTGGTAAGGTCCCGTCAGGGCCTTCTCCGGAGGCGCGACCGGGGCGTATATATGGGCTTGTTCCGTAGCCGTAGCTTCTCCCGGCTGGGTTTACTGGACTGCAAAGTGGTGTGCGCAAACAATCGAAGCCATCGACAGTCCTACGTACCTACGTACCTATCTACCTACCTAGGTCGGTACCCTAGGTGGCCCGGTCCTCTGTCAGCAGCCTCGCTTGTTTCTCTCAGGCCTCTTCACAGCACCGCAGCCTCTGTACAGATTCACTATTTCCTCCTGCTCCCGGGTATCGACCCACTTTGGCCTGTCTGTCACCTTCCTTGGGTGCCTACCTACCTACCTTAGGTACCTTACCTTACCTTACCTTCGGTACCTTACCTTACCTTACCTTAGGTACCTCACCTTACCTACCTGACCTTAGGGTAGCGACCTACTCAAGGCCTTGCCGCCATCGTCACCACCCATTCTTTCTCCCTCCTTTACCCAAGCATCAACCACAGCAGGCCTCCGCTGCAAGCCTCTGCTCGGTCCACAACCGTGGCCATGGTCTCTGCCAGCACGGACGACACCAAGATGGGTGCCGCTGACCCGGCTCCCGACGTTCCTCGTCCTGTCGATACTGAGCCTCGCTCTGTCGATACTGAGCCTCGCTCTGTCGATACTGAGCCTCGTTCTGCCGAGACTGCGGTCGAGACCCCCACCACAACATCACCTCCCCACAACGGCCCCGGCAAGTGGTGGCAGGTCCGTCTCTTCCGTGGCATGATCAACGATGTCCGTCGTCGAGCACCCTACTACGGCAGTGACTGGAAAGACGCCTGGGATTACCGTGTTGTGCCTGCGACGGTGTACATGTACTTTGCCAAGTAGGTCCCAAAAGAAAAAGCTACGGACCGTCTGCCAACAAGAACCTTTCGATTGACAGAGCGCAGCATCTTGCCGGCCCTCGCCTTCTCCCTCGACATGTTCACCAGCACCGGCTCCAGTTACGGCGTCAACGAGGTCCTGTTGGCCTCCGTCCTCGGCTCCGTCCTGTTCTCTCTCTTCGCGTGCCAGCCCCTCGTCATCGTCGGTGTGACGGGGCCCATCACCGTGTTCAACTAGTACGTCTCCCTTCTACAGACCATCGTCTCCCCCCCTCTACCAATGATCTGATCTGGGCCAATCCTGACCTCGACAGCACCGTCTACGACATCATGGAGCCCACTGGTGTCAACTATCTCGCCTTCATGTGTTGGATCGGTATCTGGTCGCTCATCCTTCACTGGATTCTTGCCATCACCAACTCGTGCAACTGGCTGCGATGGGTCACCCGCTTCCCCTGTGACATCTTTGGCTTCTACGTCGCCTTCATCTATCTGCAGAAGGGCATCCAGGTGCTCGAGCGACTCCCCGACGGACCTGGCTTCTACCTGTCCATCGTTGCCGCCCTGCTCGTCTTCATGGTCGCGTACATCTGCGGCGAGCTCGGGACGAGCGGTCTCTTCCACCACCACATCCGCGTCTTCCTCAAGGACTACGGCACACCTTTGACGCTCATCTTCTTCACCGGTTTCGTCTACATCGGACGCATGTCTGACGTCCACCTGGAGAGGCTACCCACCAGCGTCGCCTTCTTGCCGACGGCGGACCGCGACTGGCTTGTCGATTTCTGGAACATCAGCGTTGGCGACATATTCCTGGCTCTGCCCTTTGCCATTCTTCTGACCATCCTCTTCTGGTTCGACCACAATGGTATGTATCCTGTTTCTCCCCCCCCCCCCCCCCCCCCCGTTTCTGTATGGCGAAACGCTAACCCACCGCAATAGTCTCCTCGCTCATCGCACAAGGCACCGAGTTTCCTCTTCGAAAGCCTCCTGGCTTTCACTGGGACTTCTTCCTGCTTGGCCTCGCCGTTGGTGTCGCCGGTATCCTCGGCCTTCCTTTTCCCAATGGCCTCATCCCCCAAGCCCCCTTCCACACCGAAGCTCTCACCGTCAAGAAGGCTCGCCCCGAAACAGACGAGAAGGGCAACCTGACGGGCTCCCATGTCGTCGAGCCGAGCCACGTGGTTGAGCAGCGCTTCTCAAACCTCGCGCAAGGCCTGCTTACGCTCGGTACCATGACCGGCCCACTGCTCGTCGTCCTCCACCTCATCCCACATGGTGTTCTTGCCGGCTTGTTCTTCGTCATGGGTGTCCAAGCCCTCGAAGCCAACGGCATCACAGCCAAACTCCTCTTCCTCGCTCGCGATCGAGCTCTCACGCCGCCGGCGCACCCACTGCGTCAAGTCCGCCGTCGTGTCATCTGGATCTTTGTCGGCATTGAGCTGCTTGGGTTTGCCGTCACGTTCGCCATCACGCAGACAGTGGCAGCCGTGGGCTTCCCCGTGTTCATCATGCTGCTCATTCCTGTGAGGGCCCTGCTGTTGCCCAAGTGGTTCACGGTCCGGGAGCTCGCCGCCCTCGACGAGCCGACTGCCTCGCCGTTCATCATGGAGAACGTAGGAGGCGCATACGGCGGACCACCCGCTGGAGCCGACGACGTGGAAAGGGCCGTGAGCGCCACGGCGGCGAGGAGGCCGAGCAGGAGATACAGCGAGCAAGAACTGCGACACCGTGACGGGGTGTTTGCTTCTCCTGGAGCTCCGAGACGCAGCGAAGAGGATGTCGCAGAACGGGGCATGTTGACGAGCACGGCAACTAGGAGGAGCAGTCGCGGTGCGGCAAGCTCGAGGGCAGCGCTGAGCCGCGTCGGCTCGGGGGGTTCGAAGCACGATTAAGCGGCTGATCATGCACGTGAGCGTTTTCTTTTCCTTTGCAAAGCATTTCATGCGAGATACCACGATTTATAGGTATATAGACACATACGGAGAGGGAGAGAGGGAGAGAGAGAGATACAATATTTGTAATAAATGTCGGAGAGTCTTGTGTAAACACATTCCTAAATCATATCACGACTTTTATGTGATTTGAAACTGATGAACGCCAGATCGCTAATGCCAAGCCCCCCCTATTCCTCATCGCTGCTTTCCATGACAAACCCGCCCTTGATCCTTTTCCGCGGCCTCGCGCTCGGCACTGGCAGGTCATCTTCATCCTCGTCGTCCATTTCGACGTCACCGTCAGCATCCACGACCCCAGACCCTTTCCGCTTCCTACCCTCTTGGCTTGACGACGCAGACGGCTCTTCACCATTGTCGTCTTCATTCTCCTCATCTGTCCCCGCCCCGTGGATATCGGCAAGCAGAACATCGTCGTCATCGTCATCACCCACCGCTATCAACTGCGGCTCCTTCCTCGCCGCCGGCACAGCGACCTCGGACACGTCCACCCCGGCGGCGGCGGCCTTGGCCATCCTCTTGCGCTGCGCCTCCTCGCGCGCGAAGAAGGCGGCATCGCGCTCGTCGTCCGTCTCGTCGTCGCTCGCCGCGACGTAGAGCTGCGACTTGATCTTCTCCAGCTTGGCCCTCTCCCTCTCGCGGCGGGCGCGCGCTCGGTCCCGGGCCGCTTCGTCATCGTCGTCGGAGCCCGAGGCATCCGGGTCCCGTTCGCGGCGTTTGCGGACATGCCTTGTCTTGTTCTTCTTCTTCTTCTTGCCGTCGACGACCTTGCGCTCTGTCGGTCCGCCGGCGGGGAAGAGGGCTGCGTTGGCGACGTCGCCGTCTTCTTCTTCGTCGTCGTCGTCCTCGCCCTCGCCGTCGTCGTCGTCGTACTGCGCCTTTTTGCGCGTGGCCGTCTTGCGGCGGAGCTGGTGCTCGGCGAGGACGCCCTCTTCGAAGACGGGCGGGCTGAACTCGGCCTTGTTGATAAGATCGAGCGTCTCGCGCAGTTGGTCCGGGGTCGCCGACGCGGGGACGACCCAGAGGCTGTCGGGAGACTCGTCGATGGCGGGAGCGTGACGCTCGAGCCCCGCGAGGCGCATGAGGAGGCGGAGGTGGGCATTCTTGAACATGGCTGCCTGGCGGGCATCGTTGTCGGGACGGGCAGCTGGGAGGGTCGCCGTGTTAATCTTCAGGGTGCTGCTGACAGGAGAAGGGGGACGCGGCGGGCGCTTGACTTACTGTACGGCATGAAGCTGTCTGCTGGCTTGTCGACCGGCTCGTCGTTGTCGCCCGTTGCCTCGACGGAGGGGAGGATCTCTTCTGCTGCCGCGAGAGCGCGGCGCTCCTGCTCGGCGTTGGTGAGGATCTTCTTGACCCACGCGATGTGGTCCGACTGGCTCTTGTCGAGAAGCACACCAACGGCAATGGCCATCTGCTGCTCGCGGTCCTCGGTGTACTTGAACTCGAGATCAGCTGCGGGTCGGGGCCTTGACGTTGAGATTGTCTGCTTCTCAAAGCCGTATTCGAGGTAGTGCGCCGTGCTGCTAATCTTGGAGAAGAGCATCTCGATGAGGAGGGCCGGCCTCTCGTCGATCTTCTTGAAGCACTTGCGCAGGATCTGCTTCGCCAGCTCCTCCCACTCCTTGTACATGCTCGACGCCTTGTCCAGAGGTTCAGGGCCCTTGACCATCTCGTGGAGGAGGTGGACAATGTCCACGCGGAACAGCATGACGCTCGCGTCGTGCTTGAAGGCCACGCGGTAGAAGTAGCGGTGGGCGCGCTTAAGTTGCTCGTCGCTGAGATCTTTGTAAAACTTGGTGAATGCCACAAACGTGTCGACGACGCCTTGTGGCGTGAAGCGGGCGCTGAACCGCTGAAAGTCGAACTTGCGCTCCTTGGTGGTCAGCTCGGCGTTCTTCTCGTCGTCCCCGGAATCATCGGCTTCGTCTTCGTCGCCCTCGCCATCGGCCGACGCTTCTTTGGCCGCCTTCTTCTTGCGCCTCGTCCTCCGCCGAGACCGGACTTGCATGTCCACGTTTTGTTTTGAGTATGCCTCCAAGATGCGTAGGAAGTGATGTGTCAGCTCCGTGGCGGCATCGAGATAGTCGAAACCCTGCTCCTTGTACTGTCTCACGACGTTGGCTATCAGATCGTGCATGGCGTCTTCGTAGAACAGACGGCTCAGTGTATTCTCCGCGATCTCCTGGTCGTCCTCGTTGGGCGAATGGGACATCTCCTGCACCGTCAGCAGGATCTGCGTGAGACACCTCATTGAGGCGGTCAATTCTGGCCAGTCCTTATGCTCCCAGGCCTGGGTCATGGTCCTGTTGAGAGTGATAAAGGTGGACTGGTTGAGGACGGCGGCGACCAAGTTGAAGCTGCTGACTTCCTCTGCCGAATTCTTCGGCGCAGAAGCGCGCTGCGAGCTCTTCCGGGTTCGCTCCGCCTCCAAGAACCACGCCACCAGATACAGAAACTGTCTCCGGTGGTATGACAGCACGTGTGAGGCCTCGCGGTCGATGGACTTTCTGACATGCTCAAATAAGGGGTTGAAGCCGGCATCCAGGAATTCCTCGACAAAACTCCTCAGCTGCGAGTAGGCACGAGCATCCAGCTTCGGCAGCTCGCCTAGATCCTTCATGTGCGAGTCCGTCTTTGACCTGGCCTTGCGGGGCGGCTTGAACTTTTTCGTCTCGTCCATCTTCTTCCGCCTCGAGGCCACATCCACCAGAGCTTCCTGTCCGGAGACTGCAGTCATCTTGCCGTCGGCGCGCTTCACCCAGATGACCGTGCCGAAGCGGTTGTGACGTGTGGGCCCCTTGCGGTTCTGGGCCTTGAGCATTGCGTTCTCCTTGCCCATCATGACCGACAGCTCATCCGCCTTGGCCTTGTTCACCTGCTGCTCACTCATGAACAGCTTTTTGACGTCAACGCGCTTGACGAGATGGTAGATGATCTCCATGATGGTCACGTCCTCGGTCCGGAAGTCCTCGCCCATGTTGGATGCGATGGTCAGGAGGACCATGAAGATGTCTTGGTAGGAGAAGGCGTCAATCGTAGCCGAGCGAGAGATCTGTGACTCCTCGCCCTCATATTTGACGTTTGGCTGGGGCTCGATCATGGCGACATTCCTCAAGAAGAAGAGCACCAGCTTGATGATGCCCTGGTCTCGCGGGGCGCGCTCCCCAATCGGCGCGGCCATGGCCGGGAGGGCAACCCTGGCTGCGGCGTGCAGGATCCGCGCACCGTCAAAGTTGATGATGGATCGTTTGTAGCCGACTTGTGCGAGCTGCAGGGCGGGCATGTGTCGGTGATGGTTGACTGTCGTCTGCTCGGGATCGCGCTCCATGGGCCACGTCAGCGGCACCATGATTTCGAAGCACGCGAGTGCGATCCTCGATCTAAACTTGTTGTCGGTGGAATTTTCAGGCCATGTCGCCAGGATGGGAAGCAGGTCGCCATCGATCAGGTTGGCTTCCGCGATGCATCGTGCGACGTCCATGCGGTTCGTCTTCTCGTCGTAAAACCGTATCCATTTCTTCAAGTCGCGGAGGACCTCGAGAGCGTCGTCTCCCAGGTTGTAGCGTCCGTCGTCATCTGCGCTGATGCCACCGAGCTGTACCAGGGTCAGCTTTTGGAATGGAGCGTCCAGGCGCGGCAGAGCAGCAACTTACAGCGGAGACTAAGCTGTTGATGTGTGCCCGTACTTCGGGATGGACGATGTCTGTTGTCCCATCTGGCATCTCCATGATGGCAATGGGCGAGGAGGGCACTTGGAATCTATTCAGTACCGATCCCAGTGGCTCACAGCAGGCATTGGGTCTGGATGGTTGGTGGGGTGACTCGGCGATATGGGCATCCAGCAACCCAGAATCCTGACCCCCATACAATTCTCCAGGGAGACGCGCCTTGACGCGTTACAACGCGAGTGTGAGTTGACCGGTAGTTCTCCGGGTAAACTGATCTGTCGATAAGCCATTGGGTTTCCGCTTATCTAAGGCCGAGGTTAGCCGAGGGTCGTGATCTCATGCTGCTGCTGCTGTCGTGCCGAAGGTCGAGATGGAACTTCTTGCAAGACACGCTTCAACTCATGAAAGGACAGATTCGTGACGAAAACAACTGCTAGTAAGACATTCTATCCAATATCTACAATCATATTTTCAAAGACATTGTTGGTTGTCAGCCTCCCCCCGGCTCACTGCGATTTCCAACCTCAGCAGCTCAATCACTCTGCCACCCCCCCTCCCCAAAACCCTGCCGCAACCTTGAATCCTCATATTTCCAGAAATGGCGTCCACCATCGCGAGAATGCGGCCCGTGGCCCGGGTTGGGAGTCAAGCGAGATATTTCAGCTCTTCGCTAAGGCTGGATGCCGCCGCAAAGGTGCAGCGACTTGGAGTTATCGGCGCAGGCCAGATGGTGAGTTCTCGCGTACCATGTGACAATTGAAGCAGCAAGGCGAAATGCCAACGATACTGGTCACTGACACACCGCAATGCAGGGTCTGGGAATTGCGCTCGTGGCCGCTCAGAAGGCTCAGGTCCCGGTCACTGTCGTTGACACGTCCGAGGCATCCCTCAAGAGGGGCATTGCATTTGCAGGTTCGTGCACTGTGGTGCGGGCGCGGCGGATGTCAGAACTGTTGTCACTCACAACCCCTCAGAGAAGCTCCTGGCCAAGGACGTGGCCAAGTCGAGAATCACACAGGAGCAGGCGGACCACGCCCGGTCCCTTCTGACGCCGGCCAGCTCGCTCGACAAGCTGTCGGACGTGGACTTTGTCATTGAGGCTGTGCCCGAGATCCCCAAGCTAAAGTTCGACATCTTTGCGCAGCTGGCCGAGATCTGCCCCAAGCATGCCATCCTTGCCACCAACACGTCGTCCATCTCCATCACGAGCATCGCCGCCGCGACGACCAAGAACCCGACGGATACGTCGGCAAGCTCCCGCGTCGTGTCGACCCATTTCATGAACCCCGTGCCGGTGCAAAAGGGCGTCGAGATCATCAGCGGCCTGCAGACGAGCCAAGACACGCTCGACACGGCAATTGAGTTTTGCAGGGCCATGGGCAAGATCACGTCCGTGTCCGCGGATTCGCCTGGCTTCTTGGCAAACCGGATTCTGATGCCGTACATCAACGAGGCTGTCATCTGCCTCGAAACGGCGGTCGGCGACCGCGACTCGATCGACGCCATTATGAAGAACGGCACCAACGTGCCCATGGGACCCTTGCAGCTCGCTGACTTTATTGGGCTTGATACATGCCTGGCCATCATGAAGGTCCTCCACGAGGAGACGGGCGATTCCAAATACCGACCTAGCGTGCTGCTGCGCAAGATGGTCGATGCCGGGTGGCTGGGTAAGAAGAGCGGCAAGGGTTTCTACGACTACTAGAGGAGGGGCAGAGAAGGTGGGGGGGGAGGGGAGGAGGCTTGGAGGAGAGTGCCAAGAAGTCCGGGGGAACCTCAGCTGCGAGATGGGCTGAGAGGCAGAGAAAGCGAGAGACAGGAGAAAATGCCTCGAGAGATAGTTTCCACTGAGCCCGGCAATATCGACAAGTCTTGGCAGTGCACTTCGTCATTGGATGCTGAGGCTATGAATGAGGCCATGATGCTTGGCGCGCCTTCGTCAGGTCATATGTTGAAATCAGCATGTGGGCGGGGAAATTGCTGGTTGACGTTTCGGAGGGTCACACTGGGGTGCCGGGCAATTGGACGATGGCCTAGAACACCAGCGCGGGTAGGTAGGTCAGTCCCGTCGGCGTGTATCTTGGGGAGGTCATCCGTATGCCAAGCTGTCATCTATCTGAAAGGTGTCTACTGCCTGTCGAGCGTTTCAACGGAACGGGTGCAAACGAAAAGACAGGAATAGCAACACGCTCAGCAACTGAAGTGCTGTGTGTCTGATGCACACTTTAGTCCAGACAACCAAAAGCCAGATAGGGCGGTAGCGATCGCGAGTCTAGCCAACGTGGGCCTGGGGCGATCTGCTTTTGTCGGGAGGGTCCAGCGCCCAACCCAGCCAGCTGGACGGCCTGGCTCACTCACATCTACCACAGGGTAGGGACGTGGTGGTCAGCGCCCTGAGCACGCAGGGGGTCACGTACCGTGTAGAGGTTTCGTTAAGGGGGGGCAGAGATTAAGACGGCAAGAAGGGGGGGAGGAACCAAATCTCCCGTCACGAGTATCATCACAGCCAGATGAACGGGATTTGATCGTCTGAGGCGCGACTCATGAGACTGCCGCTTTGCACGCGCGCGCTGGCTGTTTCCCATGCTGCTTTGGGCCGGGTAAGATGAAGAAGGACCGGGCATATCCGTCGTGCTGGCGACGAAATTAAACTTTGAGCGACATGTCGGCTGAGTAGGGCCAAGAGTGAACATGTCTGTCTATTCGCAGAAACATGGGACAAAGCATCGAGGCATAAACAACAGGACGCAGACGAGCGCGAACTGCACCTGTCTTGGCAAAGCCTCGTCGACTGATTCTTTTCTTGGCACCACTCGCTCTCCATCTCTCTCCTCTTCCGGCCTGGTGTGAGAGGAAGCCGACTTGGACCATGACACTCGGGCCATGCACCAACCTTGGCTGTGGTCTCGGGGCATCTGGCGGGGGGTGCGGCTTTACCTGACGATGAACGTCTCAGAAGGACCATAGCCCTACGGGCCCCCCGTCGTCTGCTCGAGTCCCGGCACGGACTGACGAAGGTCCTAATGAGAAGCGGCGAGAGGGGTTTCCTTCAAAAACAGCTCAAAAAGCTTCAACAGAGTTCAGACGACGACGGCCAAAAGGGAATAGGGTCAATAGTTTGGGTGGTCCCATACGTGAATGGGTCGGGGATCTTCCCTCTGACCATGAGAACCATGACTAAGTTGCGAAGTGCCGACCCACGCTGATCTCAAGGCTCCCCTTCCCAGCGGCAGTCACCAGACAGCCCTGCTTTTGCCAAGATGAATGAATGCCCGCTGCAAGCTGCAAGCTGCAAAGCTGGAAGCGGCAACTTGCAGCGCTAGATTTCGTGGAAACCGCGGGGTCTGACGGTGCCTGCCTGCCTGCGCCTGCTTGTTCCTGCTTGTGCTTGTGCTTGTGCTCGCGCAAGCGCGTGCGCCTACTACAGGTCTTCCGGCCTCCCGGCCTCCCAGTCTCCCAGTCTCCCGGCCATCTGGCCCTGCTGCACGACCCGTCGTTGTTTGTTCCCGGCCACAGGCTGGCCGCTCATGGGTACCTCCCTAGGTACCTATGATGGAGAGCGTATGGCACTTGCCTCAAGCCACCCTCCGACGGCAAGCTCGTGGAGCCTCTCCGCCACCTCAAGGTCAGGCAGCAAGCTCATACGCTTGCAAGGCAAGTACCGTACGAGTAGATAAGCAGGTAAGTTAGGTATCGATCTTCCTACCTACCTACCTCTATTGGATTAAGGTAGGTCCCTTGCGCCACGCGAGCTAAGAATCACCTGGCTGTTCAACCAAGGTACCTTACCTAAGGGAGGTAGGTACCGATAGGCACGTATGTAGCCCTAGCTCGCGCGGGCAGTTGCTGCTGCCTGCGCCGCCCCTGGCTAAGGTCCAAATGTGCCGGAGCGCGGCATCACCAAGTGAGGCGCGGCAGATGCTGCAACCTTGGCAGTCACGGCCAAGCGGCCACTGCCAAGCCGACACACTGCGACTTGGACTGCCAAGAACAGACCACATCAGAGCACAGCCAAACTTGTGACCTCACCTAGCCATCGTTTCCCTTCCGCCGACGAAAAGTCAACCCATCCCATCGGTCACTTCCATCCACTGTTCATCAGCCAGCCCCAAGCAAAACTAACCTTGGACTTGAATTCGCTAGTCGAACAGGGAATCCCTGGACCACCCTCCATCCATGAATCAACCCTAGTCCTACCCATACCAGGTAGGACCCAAAATCTGCATCTTCGAGGTGTGTCGATAATCCTGACGAGCACTCGAAACGAGTCAGGCGGCCCAAGGCCATCGAGGAATCCGAAGACACAGTTGCGTTGCTTGTGCGTCTCCTCCCCCCCCCCCTTCTTTGGCCCAAAGGGCCAAGACATTACCTGGAACCTGGGTACCCGGCCGCGCCGCGCCATACGAAGGACTATCATGCCCTCAACGCATTACCCTCGCAAGCTTCGACGACTCCCGTTAGATCGACAATCTGGCTCCCGCTGACATCTCATCGTCGACACTTGACAGGACTGCACGTCCACTTGCAGCCCCAACCTGGTCGTGACCACGATTCTGACACGCACGAAATTAGAATGCGACCACCCTGCCGCCGCCAAGCAGCCCGAAAGTCACTGTCAAGCTTCGTTGATTGCAGGGACCAAATCGACTGACGACAGACAACTTGGGAACAGCTCACCCCCCTCCACCAAGCCAGCGTGGTACGAGATGGACGTCCTAGCCAATCTCGGTGGCAATCGCCGAACTCTGTGTCCCCCGAGGCTACTTCACCCCCGACGACACGGCTACTTGCCGTGCATGCGCTGTGCTGTGCTGGTGTGCTGTGCAGCAACTCAGGTACAAGGGGACGGCGGGGGGCCACGGGGCGTATTGTCGCGAAGCAGCAACATGGGGCACACCTCTGTGGCTGACCTTTGGTTGTTGAACACGGCCACGACCGCGTGGCACGAACAAGCCGTAAGCCATGTCGTTGTTGATCCGCCACTTTACTGGTATGCCTCTGCCCTGGTTGTCTGACATTGCCACCGTAGGACTCCCAAAAGTCCGTCACCCGCTCGACAGGTAGATGGGTCGCCAGCGGGGTCGTCGGGGACGAGGCGACGACGACTTGAGAGCTCCAGCAAGCGGGGCTGTCCACCACCGGCAAGCCAACCGGGACACTGGAGCCCTCGGTGTCGGTGCACCATTAGACCGGTCGCGCTCGCGCACCACCAGAAGCGCCAGAAGGCCCAGAGAAGCATCCACAGGGCCCCTGACACCATTTCCTGCCCCACGGCTGCCGTGCTGTCGGAATCTTCCAGCGCACTTCATCTCCCCCTAGCATCGACGTGTCGCCGACCAAAAGCCCAACAAGGTTAGGCGCTCGACAAGCCGTTGTGTCAAGTTTACAGGCTTGCCGATGCTTAGATTGCGCCAGGGTGGTCTGCCACAACTCAAATCATCCACAACCTGACCTCACTTTAGGTTACAAGCCGTGTGTCGAAAAGCTGGCATGAGGCTGGTGGAGAAATTGGGGGCGGATTGGCGGGCTTTCGACAACTTTGCCCATGGCGTCGAATGTTTCGTACACATCATGTTGCAGATCTTGACAGCCAGATCCTCCAGGAAATGAAGCATTTCCAGCCTGCCATGGTTGTCGGTCCACCCAGTTCAACGAAATGTTGCTGCCTGTCCACAAAGTCCACCCTTTCGGAATCTCGCAGGGCCAACGGAAGACGCGACGAAACCCTTGCTCACCGCAGGCTTCTCAAAATGATCGCCCTCATAAGATGGCGCATAGGCGCCAAGAAAAGCATCGGGGCATCCGAATGCGAGGGTTGAATGTGGCACAAGGCTCGGACGCGACGCGTCCACGAACACCTCGAACCTTGGGCTGTTTCGTCTGTCCAGTTGTGCACAACGCGTGCCTGACTGGTGCATGTCAGAACGGATTGGGCTTCAGGGGGGTGTGGAGTGTCTCTTTCGGCAGGGCTAGGTTGGTGAGAGAGTGCCAGGACCAACACGTCGATGCGGTTCCTTCGGTAAAATGGAGAGAGTTTGAAGGCACGAGTCGTTGCGTCTGTGGGCCTCACCAAGATTAATGAGCAATGATCGCTGATGAGCCGTGATCGCTGATGGATGGAAGGACGGCAATCGATCACATCAAACCAACACGGTATTTTCTTGCGGCAGACCACACCCCCGCAAGGGATGAAACCACGGATGACATCCGGATTGCTCAGGACCAGCAAGTTGCAGACCATTTTTCTCTTCGGGTCCGTCGAGGTGGGAGCACAGACCTGAGTGACGAGCACTGAGGGCTGCCCACACACACTGTGGGACGCAACAACGCTCGATCGTGCCGGCGTGAGCGGGCACGGCGTCAAGCAGGACCTGACCCAAGCGCCCTGTACCCCTGACTTGGGGGCTCCAGTTCTCGCAACAAAGCGATCTACCCGTTCTCGGTCCAGTAGGAATCTGCGGCCGCTCCGCGGCCCTACCAAAGCGGCATTTACCCCTCGAACTCAAGAGCACAGCACCCAGTTTCTGGCCGTGTATTGTCAATTGCCAGTGGCGCCCTGCCACCAGCCCGATCTCGAAGTCAGTCAGTTGTCGAAGGTTTTCCGATCGCTTCGACGTTTCGTGCCGTCCTCGGCACTCGGGAGCAATCAGAATAACATCCTCGGTGCGAAGGGTACTGGTGCATATCTTCGCAAGGCGGCTGCACTCTGGTCCCTGGTGGCACAATCACACCTATCAGCCTGCGGCCTGTTCGGAGCAAGTTCCCACAGAACCGACGGCAGCGAGTGCGAGCCTGACGATTGACTTGGGAGGTCATGGTCCGAATCAGCACCAGTCCATGGTTCGGGTTACAGGCAGGGCGTGGGCGCTGACTGTTGTTGCTGGTCACTTTCAATGCTAGGTACCCTATTCAAGGTAGCATTACGGTCTATGCCGTCCTGACGGTGCCGTCTCACTTCACATGGCGTATCAGTCACCCGACGGGTCCTCTCTGCTGGCCCCTCCCATCGCCTCCGCTGTCGCCCACACGTGGTGGTGAGGAAGTTTCGCGTGAGCACCACCACGAGGGGGAAGCACCCTACGTCCTGTCAAGTGCCGCTATCGGTGGTGTCTCGCGCGACTGGGCTAGAAGCACAACCCAATTCACTAGGCAGGGAGTGCGCTCCACAGCACAAACCTTGGGCTCCAGCTTGCTAGTGCCGAATGGTCACTCTTTCATCCCAATAATGTCGACATGCAACATATTCTTAGAGCAGGTAGCATGACATCAAGCAGTACGCATGCGAGTGGTGAAGGAGTTGTTCATGCCCTCCTGCTCTGCCATGGACCTGCACTCGTCTTCATGCTGCATCGCGCGCCAGAATGAGCTACTCGACTCATTGGGAGTCGGAACACCGTGAACAGGCCACCTGTTGGCGGGACAGTGTAGCTTGCTCAGGCACCCCACACGTGTCTTTCCACTCGCACGCTACTGCTAATCCAGTACGGTACTCATGTGACCATGGCGATACTCACTCCGATGCCATTTTCACCGTTCACACTTCATACGGAGGAGGCAGGGTTCTCAATTATTATTCAGCCGTTGCGAAACCCTCTGTTCTCGTTCCTACGGCTCGGCAATGCCATGGCAAAGCACGGCTGACGGAGTGTGTGCGGGCGGGCGCAAGGCATGGCGAGACACCGCGCGGGAGCCAGAGATCTGACTAGAAACCTTGGTGATCTGCCCCGTGCTCGGCCCCTGTCACCCGCGTCCTTGCACGGGTTCTGCCAGGGGTTAAGGCATCGCCGGTCTCTTTCGCCCCCCCCCCCCCTCCCAAAAGTCGTGGAGCCTTCTGTTGTCTCGTCTTTTTCCGCCAGCCATACATTCCCTGTCCTTTTGTGGCTGCCGCCGAAATGTCCGCACCCCTCCCCTCCTCTCCTAACCTGCACACCCTGCCCACAGACTCTACCTAGAGAGCCACACCCTCCAAACCTGTCGATCTTCCCAAATGGAACCCCTGTCGCGTCCGCTCTTCGACAACGGTCATGCGTTCATCCGTGGAGGTCGACGCAGAGCTAATGGCTACGAGGCCAATGAAGCTCTCTCATGGCAGGTCCCTGCCGGCCGCCCAAGACTGAGAAGGCCATCTGCTCCGGACCAGGTCTTTTCGTCCTTCGCCTATCCTCCGAGGGACATGTCTGACCTGTCTTAACCTTGTGCCAGTGGCATCCATGTTAGAAGGCGCCGATTTGCGGCAACCAATCTGCAGTGGGCGGGAGGGCAGTTTGGGTGTCCGCGAGCTCTCTGAAACCAACCTCGGCGGGCTGCTTGAGGGAAGGGGGTGGAACGCGCTCGCGCTCTTGAATCAGGCTCGAGGCTTCAGTCTCGCCATATCCTGGCCAGGTGGGGACCGAATCTCTCTCAGTACTCCGAAGCAAGGCTTACCCTTCGTGGACTGACGTCGAGACAACCACTGCCACTTTCCCAAGAACATCTGCCATCTTGTCACCCCTGGTCTTGGCCTGGCCATCTCTGGTCAACAAGGGCCAGGCTCTATGTCTCGCCGCGCCGCGCTGCTCGCCGCAGTAAATCGTCTGGTCCCATGCCACCATGGTACTGCATTAGCCATTCAGCCGGGCGGGGGGAGACTGGACGGCCGCTCTCTCACTCACACTCATGTGTGTGTGTGTGCGCCTTTCAGCGATCTCGAGACGAAGTAACGCTGGCAGGTCAGCCGCCCGCAGTGCGCACAACGTCTCCGTGTGAATAGAGGGTACGTGTTGTCTCGCAAGAAGCAATGGTAAAAACAAATAAGGCAGACAAGCAGCGCACAGATGACTCGGCGTGTGCTTTGCCTGCCATGATTCGGAGCAGAGATCTGATATGCTGCAAGCGTGTCGCCAAACCCTCATCCATGTACCGGGTGCCCCCCATACGACCCCATCACGACAAGGTCCATCACTGCGCCAGAGGCCCTGCCCCGTGCATGCCCTGCACGCCTCGTCGGATCCTGCCTCGACTTTTCTCCGCAAGGAACAGCGGCCCCCCCTCGGTATTGCTCCCACCTCCGTCATTCTAAAAACAGGGGGTTCCTGAGCAATGGTCCTTGCGGCTTGTTGCCTTTCAGACTGTGGCATCCTTGATGGGCGGTCTGACACTTTCCAGATGTAGGACGCCTCTGGTCGATCGACCCCCCGCATACCGTCGTCTGGCGCACCCTCGAATTTCTACATTATAACATCCTGCCTCGTGGAACCTGGGGTCGCCAAGTCCTACCTCTCTCTCTCAACTCATCAAGTGACACTCCTTCACGTTGAGACCTTCTCTCCTTACCAGGTACACATACTCATTCCGAGCATATCCCATCACTTCAACACACCGGCACTTCGACCACGGCACTTCCTTTTTGATCTCTCCTCGCGGATCGACCCGAACTACACCCGTCCTTCCACCACCATCCTCCGCTCTACATCGCGCATAGGCCGTCTTGGGTCTGGAGCCTTCGGAGAACTACCCGCCTACCCGTATCTCTCTGCCCCTTTGGGTCAACAACGAAGTCCGCCCAACTGAGTGATTTGTCTGGCTGCATACACGGTCAAATCGAGCACTAGCCGTTGTCTCTCTTTCCCTCTTCCTCCCTTTCTCCCGCCATCTCGAAGGGAGATCCGACTTGGTCCTTTTCACGAGGCCCGTTCGCCAGCCCCTTCTTTTTCCTCCTCGAGTTAGCTCTTCGAAGAGGTCGAGGACGCCCCTACCCGGCTCAGGGGATCTCCATCTAGGCAATCAGTCCCTTGGACTTGCGTACCGCCCCTGGCCGTCCAACCGCCGCTCCTTCAGCAGTCCAGTCCAGCGTCTTGTCACTCGCTTGCGTCTGCCCACCAGACCGCGGTCCCACCCACCCAGAAAGACACCACGTTCTCAGCAACCCGCAGCCCTTCCAATGCTAGTTACCAGGCATATTGATACCGAATCGAGCCACTGGTCCTTCAACAAGTTTGAGACCACCTCTCAGAAGCCATCTCGCAGCTCCTCACGCATGTCTAACCACCTCGACGCACCATTGTCGACGCAACCTGACTGGCAGGGACAGTATTCGTACTTGGCTCCCGAAAGCAGCATCTTCTCCCAACCGTACGAAGCCAGAAATGAGAGCGCGGGTGCTTCGCAGCCGCGATCTACCGCTGGTGGGCCTGGCCAGCTGGACGTCTCTGTGAAGCTGGATGCAAGCTCACCCGAAGCCCATCAGAAGAGTCCGGAGGCCCTATCACCAGTCATCAAGCAACGATCTCCCTCCGTGGAGCAGCCGGGACAACACCATCTCGAGGCCTCGACACCAAAAGCAGCAACGGCTCCAGCACATGAGCCACACTCGATGGCTCAGGACACCTCCAGCTTTCCAATGGCATCGGCGCAAGCAGCTTCTGCGGTCCAAACGGACCAAGAGCCAGGGAGCTCGTCGGTCCCGATCGCCAGCGAGGAAGAGACTGTCCTCCTGAAGGAAGAGGATGATGATGTCTTCGACGATGATGACATGGATGGCGACGAGAATCCGTCAGGTCAGCCACAGACCGCAGCAGAGAGGACCGCCCAACGGAGGAAGATGAAGCGTTTCCGGTAAGCAACTACAATACCAACTGCATGCACAGTAGTCATGGCCAGCTCCTAACACCAAGCAGTCTTACCCACCAGCAGACTCGTTTTCTGATGAGCGAGTTCGCAAAGCAGCCACATCCTGACGCAGCCCACAGGGAACGCTTGTCCCGAGAAATCCCTGGTCTGAGCCCACGGCAGGTCCAGGTTTGGTTCCAGAACCGGTATGAAAACAACGCCTGCCCTTGGACCTTGACCCCTTTCACTGACCTCTGTCAGCCGTGCCAAGATCAAGCGACTTACGGCAGATGATCGTGACCGCATGATCAAAATGCGAGCTGTGCCTGACGACTTTGACAACGTGCAGGCTCTTCACTCACCATACGGCGCGGTCCATGCGCTCGGGGCCCCGATGGCTTCACCTGTTGAGTTCGGCTCCTCTGCATACAGCGACCACATGATGAGACCTTTGATGGTGGACGTGCGACGAAGCGAGGCAGAGGACCACATGTCGCCAACCGGTCTGAGCCCAGCTTTTGGAAACATCGGTTTCAGCGCCTCGGCTTCATTAAGCAACTCTGATATACTATCCCCCATGTCCCCTACGACCAACGATCACCGATACGGATACAGCAGTCACCTCTCGCCCACGAGTGCCGGGCACAGACCAACAAATGCCTTTGGTCGACAAACCAGCCTCGACCAGTCCATGATGCATGGCCGGCAACACGCTCGTCCACTTCAACCGCTCCATCTTCGCGAGACGCTGTCAAGGTCACGGTCCGACAACCTGCAGTCACCTCTCCGATCCGGTATGTCATGGAAAGGAGACTCGATAGATTATACTACCTACGCCGGTGGCAGTACTAGCCCACAGATGAGCGGTCGTCAACAATCAGTCTACCAGCCGGAACAACTGAGTAGCGGCACCTCAGGCCCCAGCGGCATCGGCTACGACTCGGCCTCGTATTCCAGTAAGCTTCTTGTTGTATCTGATGACTGTTGTAGTGTTACATGCTAACGCCGCCACGTAGCCCACGCTTCTCAGTCTCCGCCAAACATCAACTACTCCAGTTACCAACCCTCCAGCTTGCAGTCCACTCAGAACAGACTGCGAAACAGAGCCTCCTCGGCGACATTCCCCCTGGGGCTCGATCTTCGCAACCAGTATAGATCCTCCTCGCTCCACTCTGCCAGCAGCCGCGACCTCTCCTCCGCCACATCGCACTTCAGCGGCACCTCTGCACCGAGCTACACAGCCAGCTACCCCTCCGCACCCCTGACTGCACCCATGGACTTTGCACTTCCCCGCACTCCCGGCAGCGCAAGCACCGGCCCCCGATCGGGTGTCCACGACTACTCGATGCCTCAGATGAGCGCACCCATCGCGCCTCCACATGATTTTGCCCAGGCATTCCAAGGCGCCAGCGTCAGGACCCCAATGCGAGACACTTTCACTGGTGGTCACCAGGCGACCGAGCACCGCAGCGATTACGGCACAGATTTCGGATCTGGATCGGCCTTGAAGAGGAAGCGAAGCTTCACCATGCCTGGAGGCGGGCCAGCTTCTCGGCCCGGAGCATACGGCAACTCGACCTGAGTGAAGAACATTTGAGCGAGCTATGGGCGAATCAAAAACTTGAGACGAACGTGAGACCATGGTCGAAAGTTCTTGTTGTCTATTCAACTTCACTTCTACAACTGCACATATTTACACCCGCTTTGGACCTGTGCCATTATTCATTTTTTTGGGTTTTCAGGGAGGGATTTTTTTTCTTGGGGATATACGGATTTGGCAACATAGCCGGAGGGCTATTCTGGGCGGCATGGTTCTCGGGGGATGGGCCCCCTTTTCCATTTGGCTTTGCGGGATCTTTTAGGATCAAGCCCAGCCCTGCACTGCATTTTTTACCTTGTTTGTCGATTTGCCGCAGAGCATGGCCAGCCGCAAGAAGAGCGTTGCTTTATGTTTGGAGTTTTGAAGGATGGGGTCGAAGGAGACATGGGACGGGATAAGGGGTGGCAGGCCAACGAAAACGGGACATGGAAGCACTTCTGTTGCAGAATCTCCACTTGGGCTTGCGTACCAATTCTTCTCCTTCTTTCTATTTCTCTTGCCTCTTGAACATGCTGTTTTCCTGCGAGCTCTGCATGTGGACTATCATGAGCCAGATGGTCGACGAGCAATACGGGACCGGAATCGGGAGAGAGAACTGGCAAGGGAATCCGTCGCATTCGAGAAAGGCGACAACCAAACAGGGTTGACTGGACGGACCATCGCGGCGCCGGAGAGACCCTACGTCGAGATGCTGTACATAGGTATGGTGCTCGCTCAGGGCCGCCTCGGCATGGCCTTCCTTGCCTGTCCCCGCCATTCATCGCGTGCGTGCATGCGCACGGGGAGGCTGGGCAAAGGTAGAATGCTATCGCTATTGTGAATATGCAACCTCTTCTTCTTGTTCTTCTTCCTCTTCAATTCCTCGCCCCCCTGCCTGCCTGCTTGACTGTCATGGCCTCAAATTTGCTTTTCCACATCCCTTGCTGTAAAAGCTGCAGGACCAGAGGCTCGTGACTCGCAATGCGTCGGTAGGCATGGAAGATGTGTCAGGGCCCGCAGGGCGCTACCTCTGATCGTGACCAATTCTTCAGGGTGCAGTGCAGGACCGAAAATGACTTGTTGACAAAACGGCGCTGGCTGGCAGGCCGGCGTGCCTACGTTTGGGCAGACGTCGACTCGACTCGAGTCGCGGAGACAGAAGACAGTGAGTGGGCGACAGAAGCGACGTTTGCGGCGGTTGCCGGTTGCGGCATGACGCTCCGGGTGTCCGTGTTCGGGATCCGGAGGCTTACGTTGCGTGGTTGCCCCCTTTTTTTCACCCC